CCAAGACTCCAGTGCTCTTCTGCCCCAGTGACACTTGTGCCAGCCAACGCTGGCAGCGTCCCTTGGCACCCTCTGGTCCCTCCACGTCCTTGTCATTTCAGATGCCTTTTGCTAGGCAGTCTTGGCATTTGCACCCACAAGACTCCTACTGGCAAACGCTACGTTGAAGCACTAAACAGAGTAGGGGTGGGAGGGCCTCCTACAGCAGCCAAGCTGCATAAGATACCTGTCATACTCTCAGCCACCCCCCTCTCTGCCGCAAATGTCTCGCAGAAGAAAGCAAGCAGGCCACTGTCAGTGAAGGTTTCAGTCTTACAAGCACATTTGCAAAGGATCTTTGTTTTAGACAAGGAAACGCAAACTTTTTCTTCCAACAAGAACAGCCAAGGAATCGGATTCCCATACCCTTGGGTTTTTATCTTACTGTCATTGCTCACTGATTCAAACCCTGCTGTTAGAGCACACATCATTCATGCTACACGTGATGTTCCCCAGTGTTATTCCCCATATTTGCCAAAATCCACCCATGTTTTCTGCAACCTTAGTAAGTGCTTTCCACTAATGCAAGGTAAGTTTACACTGCCTGTACCAGAAAAACACTCCAGTTGTCTTCTCTGGGATAAATTATCTCTGCAGCGGCAAGGAGGCATGAACATAGCTGCAGTTTGCTCACAGGAAACTTTAGCCACAGTTCTTTACAGCTTCTGGAAAAGCAAAACATGCATCCTCAGATGAACTATTCGCTCCTTCGCCCAGCTTCCAGCCTCTTCAGCATAGGCTCTTTTATCAAATTTTGTAGGAAAAAACTCTGTCCATCACACCACCACCACCCTCCTCCCATGCCACGTTGAACCCCTGTGTACAAAACACATGTTCTGCTGTGGACCATGAGGTACCTGGAAGAAGGCCCCACGAGGCTGTGGGATCTGAACATGTGGGGTCGGATCACCATCATTGTGCTGCAAAGGCTGCCTTGTCTTGCCCTCCCAGCAGAGGCTGGCAGAGCCTTGCCTGTTACACACTGCATTTTCTTCAAGAAAGCTCCACCGTGCATGTATGACACCCCACGTAGGGAGCAAGGCTGCAGGGTGGTTTGAGTGCAGCCTCCAGATCCAGCGTCAGGCATGCCACCAGTGGGCCACGAGGCCGGAGAAGCAGACCCCAGATCCCTTTTCCGCTTGGGACAAATACCTCCAGTTCCCTCCTGCAGCCTTTCAGGACGGGAACCGCTCAATGAATGCTCCTCCACCCTCACTGTCCAACAATGGTAGAAACAAGGCTGGAGTAGAAAGCAGCATGGGAAGTAGTACCTCTTACCAGCCATGCCTGGGAAACACAGACAAATATTTCTGGATGGCCACATAATAATTCAGTCAACAGCAGCTAGACGGGTGATTTCACACAGCCACCAATTACACACAGCTCTTCACAGAGCCAAAGGATGCCACCACGCCAGGCTCTGCAGTCAAAGCATCTGCAGCAGGCTTTCCGCTGCTCCTACATTCATCCTCAATGCAGAACACTTACAGGGAAAAGTATACCCTGTTCTCTGTTACAGCTACGTAGCGGTGCATGATGCCCACAGTACACACCAGGAACTTCTGATAAGGAATGTCCTTAATGCTGTCTGTTTTCTTTCTGGAGAAACTTGCGGGAAGGGACTGACTGAACAAGTTTCACACTAAGGGGATTTGTGAGCAGCAGCCCAAAAAAACAACACTTTTGCTGAAGGCAGAGCATGTCCACCCAGGATCAGGTTTACTGACCGCTGGTATTACCCTTTTCTCTTCAGAGATACAGAGCCTGAAATCTGAACCATGCACAAACACCCAAGCTCTTAACATTCACCTCAAATCACTTGTCTGTCAAACAAGCACTACAGTTGTCAGACACCAGTGACCCAAATGCCTTTTCCCCCTGCCGGAAGCATTTGCATTTCACTCACCACATCTTTCCGTGCTTTTAAATGACAGTCACTTGGTACTGCTACTGATGTTACCAGATGAAAGCAAAGCAGTGTCTTCACCAGTAAGTATTCCAGTGGAACAAGCTTTTAGTGAACTACACTATGCTGAGTCAAGAGAAACAGGTAAATGTTAATAGTTTGCTTGCAAGAAACAACAGCGCCATTTTGGATTTCAGTATATAAAAGCTGCTTCTGCGTATTGCGTCCCTCCAAACGATGACTGCGAAGTGACGCAAGAGAAGCTTCCTGAGAGGGAAAGACCAAGCACAGCGTGATCCAAAGACCCAACCCTGCTATTTGGTAGCAGGAACACCGTGACTGTGGTGCAAGAACTAGCTTGTACCTAGCCCTTTTCTCTTCAGAGAAAACTTTTACAATTGATCGTGCCTCTGCCAGGAAGGGAAAAAAAAAAAGTAAAACCCCACAATTTGCAGTGTGATTTGCACCTTGCCTTCCAATCTACAGCCAGACAAGCGGCCATGGTGGCCCAGGAATACTTGCCTTCTTGTCTCCTTCCATGACTAAATTTCCCGTTTTCTTTCTTACCACACAGGTAATAGTAGCCTTTTTTTTTTTTTTTTTTTACCTCTCTGTGTCCTCACCTTCATTCCAAAGCAGCCCTGAGCCAGACATACTTGGAGTACGTGACCAGAAGGTTCCTGACCCCTGGTATATAAAATCTCATTTGTCAGCAAAGAGGAGAGGGAAGGGATTTTAGTAACATGTAAACAACAAGAGTAGTGCACAACAAAACAATTCCTTTATCACTCCACACCACAGGCTTTTACAGCATGGCATTGAATAGTAATGCCGTTGAACTTGGAGCTTAGGACTATAAATGTTTAAACATGCTTTTATTTCCTATCCTGCTACTCTGTCGTCTCCTTCCAGTATTGAAGGGACTGGAATTTTGCTAGGAAAGAGCAAGAGAAACACACTCTGGATACTATTTCAGCATCAAAGCACCATGCAAAGAATTCACAGCACAGGCCTGCATTTCTGAACTAGGATGGAAGCAGGTGGCTCCCCAGCCTCTAGGCCACCCTATTTTTTATTTTTACTTCATGTGCTTCATACCAAGAGGATATATTTAATTGAAAGTGACTAAAGTCTAAGCTTTTTACTGAAAGTAGCATAGAGCATCTTTTGGCATGGAAAATTAATTTATATTGTCAAATCTTCTCTTTTGTTCCTCTCTCTAACCCACTCAAGACCTGTTTTTGTATTCATTGCCAAGATGAACTTCTAGGTTCCCTTTTAGTAAATGAAGTTACTTATTTTTTATTCTTTACTTATTGCAGTAAAAACTCGTATGAGCTCTGGTAGCACTGGTAGTTTACCGGTTCTCAGCTAAACCTCCACTTCTTAAACCACCACCACCAAGATTTTTGCTCAGCTTCCCTTAGCCCATGGATGCACGCCTAACACAGATTACTGCTTTTAAAATATGGCTCATCTTACATTCCCACATTTCAGACCCTGGAAATTTATGTAACAGCTCAGCTCTGAAAAACTGAGCCCTCTGAGGAACGAGAGAATAGAGGACAGCAGAGCAAAGCTGAGCACACCAGTTCTATTTTAAATAAATTCACTGTCAAGGAAAGTCTTTCTGGTCTTGCCATTTATCTCTCCTACTCTTAGGTTTTCTGAAATTTGGAACTTTTCAGCGACCATTTTTGGCTTCACAGACACTTCCATTTTTATCCCATAAACCCAGCTGTGGACTATTGGCCTAGTCCAGCTCAAGATTTGAACTAGGAGGGCCATTCAAATTGGATGTGGAGACCACGAAGTAAAAGCACTAGACCTTTGGAGGCGGAAATGCATGGTGAAATATTTCCTTCAGCCTCCTTCACACTTTAATTGCCCTTCCTCCGTTGCAGTGCTGGCTGGATAACGGTATTTTCGTTCTGACCCCACTGACCTGCCTCATAAATAAGAGGAGCTATGTACAAAAAAGCCTTTACCATGTCATGCTTATTTTCAGTTGAGCTCTAACCTAGCCATTGCTAAACTGTGCCGCTACAAAGATTTGGTGCAATTCTTGCAAACTCGTTGGCTGTATAATGCTTGGTCCTCTACATCTCCAGCTGTTTCTTTACCCTGCAAGTTCTTCACTGCCAGTAGCACTCTATGACTTTATTAAAGATACCTTGACACAAGCAGGCAGAGCCACTTCAACCACCTCCAGGGAAAAAAACCTGCTACCTAAGAGGGAAGGTCATGTAGCTGTTCTGGCAGGAGGGAAAATCAGGAGGGCTATGCCTATTATCAGGAGTAAAAGTGCGAAACCAGTACAGCTCTACTATCTAGCCCTAAGGGAAAGGAGACTTATTAGCAACAAACAAACAGGTAACGAGGAACAATTGTTTCTTACTGTTTATGCAACCGAGTGAAAAAGCTATGTGGTTGCAGCTCGTGGCTACGTACAAATGCAAAGCATAGCTATATGCATATTATTATTCAAATTGTTTTATCCAGAAGCTTTCTAGAGCAGTAACACTGCTAGAGCACTCCAGCTCTGCAAAACGTGCTTTTTTTTTCTTTCTACAGTGACAAAGGCAAAGAGGAGAACCTGCAAGAGCAGGAACAGAGGAGAAGCCCCGGTCACAGGAAGCAGGCAGCGATTTGCTTCGGTGCCAGAACCTCACCGCAGAGATTAACACACCTTCCTGTGCCAGGTGGGGAAGGTCGAGAAGGAAAACAATGACGTTTATTGGTTCTAAGTGGTAGGCTTGCAAGAGATAATCCTTCCAGCACTTGAGGTCACTGCTAACTCAGGAGAGAAACTTGTTAGAGACGAAGGCACTACAAGTGCTTGTCGTACCCATGGAGTAACAACTACAGGAAGCTGCCACCCAGCAGCGATATTCTCCTGACCATACAGGCACAATAAACTGAAAACCTCTTTATTTACTGCAGGCGCCCGCTACAGCACCCGGGACATCTGCATGCACAACAAGACGCCGCTCCAACAGACAAACCGTGAGCTTTTCACGCTGGAAAGCTGCACCCCTCGGTGGGGATGGCCTACACGCCAGCGCGGCTGCGAGAGGCACCGCCCAACTGCCCCGACGCCTTCGGCCTGCTCTGTCCCGACATGCTGCCGCCAGGAACTTCAGCCAGCACCGCGTTTCCGCCTCTCTGTATCACAGAACTGGTTACGTGGGGGAAAGGAAGCAAACCTTCAACACAGGCCCAGCCCAAAACCTGGGCCGTGCTGGCAGACAAGCACCCTTCACCACTCCGTCTGCCGCTTCTGCCCGGAGAAATCGTGAGGCCTCTGCAGAGGGGCCCTCACTCACCCCCCTTATTTCGTCGCTGCCCGGTGGAACAACCGCTGCTACGGCCAGAAAGGAGCGTCACCGGCAGACGCCAG